AGGGCGAGCAACAAGAAACAGCAATCACCAGCGAGGGTTTTAGAGAGTCAGGACTTAAAGTGAGACTGAAATTCAATACTACCTATGATCAAGAGTCACCGTCAACATCAAAAGCCCTAGGATAAATAGGAAAAGACAAGAAAGGACTCGAAAGACACAGCAGGACATGAAGCGACGAATATTTCTCTCAAAGATACAGACGCAATGAGCAAATAAGTAACAAAGTGCCATATAGCGGAAACTGAAGAACCAAACCAAGGGAGACTGAGAGGAGACCTCGGCTGACAACGCGCGTACGCTCGCTCGCTCACTCGGGGAGTAGGGGTGGATGAATATGAAGAAAATAAAGGGAAGAAGGAAAAAAAAGAGTTTACAAGAGAGAAGAACCCCCTCCCGCGTCCCCTTCAAGTTCCTTTAAGTTAAAAACAAAGGTAAACAACTGTAAGGTACGGTAGGTACGGTAGGTGTGTGTGTGTGTACCTTGCTTGAGCAAGTCCGCCCTTTCATCCACCCTCCCCCCATTCCCCCTTTCCAAACACTCTCTTTCTCTCCCTCCCAGGCACCCGGAATTCCAAACCAGTTAGCCAACGAAATGTAAGAGTAGAAAGAAAAAAACCGAGAAAACATCCCAGTCAAATCAAATCAAATCAAGTCAAATCAGTCAGTCAATCCGCAACGCAACGCAACGCAACTAGTCAACCGCCGAGCCTACCCCCCGCTCTCTTCGTCTTCTCTTTAGAAGCCAAATCAATCCTGAGAGAGGAGACATGTCTTTCCCCTCCCATGCGTCGTCATCTATACCTCCCTCTTCTTCATCCCTCCCCCAATTCCCGGTCTGCGCTTCCTTCACCTAGCATCGGCCTCCTCCTGATGCTGCCGCAGCCATTCTCTCGCTTCTTGTCCCGGACAGAGATACACCTACACTGGGGGATCGCACCGCCGGCCCATATCCCACCCTCCCGGGCTTGGGATTTTTGAAGAAGATAGAACAAAAAAGATCCAACTCATGGCATTCGTTTCATAGCTCGTTCATTCGCCCCAAGCCTAAAAAGAGGGCCTGGCAAGGATAAGAAGAATCCCTTCCCCCTTCCTCTTTCCGCCTCTTTAGCAGCCGATTCCGACCCAACCCTTTACACCCCTTTTTGAGAATCAAAATCCCGGGGGGTTTGTTTGGACATTCGCACACACCCCGGATACATCGACTTTGTTGGTTTTCTGGTTATTTTTTTTTCTTTCTTGGTTATTTCATCCACACTCAGAACAGGAATCATCACACCAGCCCGTCGTACAGGGACAGGGCAGATACAATGGTGGCGTCGCGCTGGCTGCCGTCCTTGAACTCGTGTATGTCGAGGCTGCCGTTCTTATCCTTATCCATCATGCGGAAGATTTTAGTGACGCGCTTTTCGGGCGTGTCCTCGTCGTCGGGGAGCTTGACCATTGTGCCGACCTGGGGGCAAGAACATGTCTGTGGTTAGTTTGTGGACAGGACAAATAACCCTCTGCCAAACAGGGAACCCACCATCTTGTAAATCGCTTCGACAATCTTTAGCATCTCGGCGTAGCTAATCTTGCCGTCGCCGTCAATGTCGTACAGCTGGAAAGCCCAGTCGAGCTTCTCCTCCATCTTGCCGCGGCTCGTGACACTCAGAGCGCAGATGAACTCCTTGAAGTCGATGGTCCCCGACTTGTCCGTGTCGAAGACGTTGAAGACGTAGTCGGCGAACGACGTCGGGTCGCCAAACGGGAAGAAACGCTTGTAAATCTCGAGGAACTCGTCCTTGGTGAGCGTACCTGTGGGGCAGTCTTTCCGGAAGCCTGTTGTTGAAGGCGATCGCGGTTCTCTTGTTAGCCTCCCGATGTTTTGGTTGAACATATCCTCCCTCCCTTTCCCCTTTTTAGAGCCTCCCCTCTCCTTTTCGGATGCCCCGGTTCAGGCATTCTCTTTTCCTTTCCTCCTCGAAAAGAGAAAGTGGGGGGAGAATAGAGGGAGATAAACAGAGAAAACAAGGCCAAACCCACCCTTATACCATTGCTGCAGTTCCTTCTTGTCGAACAGCGTCGCATTCTGCAGGTCAGCCAGCTCCTCCTGCGAGAGTTTCGACTGTCTGTGGAGGACGTGGTGTCAGCGATTTTGCGGCATGAAGCGGGACAATACGCGGACATGAGACTCTAGGCGGGCAGGCGTGTCTTGTTCGCGGTCGCAGTCGCATTCGCATTTCGGCACTTGCGAAATCGCAATGTTCACGGCCCGGACGCCTAAAGACCTCGTGCAAGGTACCCCGAGGAGAATCCCGCCTCGAAAGCCTAGAATATCGCCCGAGCAAGGACCTGAATGAAGCGCGCACTACTTACGATTTGCCCATCGCGGCCGGATGTGGTGTGCGTTTGACGCCGCGTCAGAGAAGGCTGGGGGAGTTTAGCCTCCGGGGGCGCGCGAATGTGCGGGTGCGGGCGTGTGGAGACGTCAAGTTTGCGACAGTAGGATTGTCTTCTCGGGATTTGTTAGTTTCGCCCGGGATCTTGTTCTCGACTTTGCGCGGTGGTCTAGTTCGTCGTTGGCTTTGTCTGCGCTTTGTTCAGACGGGTTGGACGAGAGGTGAAGTGGTCGTCGTGGGGTTTATGAGTACCTGCCCGGTTAGGTACAGTAGAGGAGGTACAGGTCGGTAAATACGCGGGGGCGGGGGGCGGCGGTTGCAGGGTTCTTGGCAAAGGCGAGGCTTAGAAAGACTACAAGGTCGTGGAGAACAGAGATCGGTCGGTTGGTGGGCTAGAAATGCGATTGAACGGCGGTTGGAAGGGAGAGAGAAGTGAAGCGAAGACGACGGGAGAATATCCGAGTGACGGCGGCGGCAATGGCAGGGTTTGTATGTATGTACGGAGTATGCACAGAAAGTTAGGGGTGCACTGTACGGAACGCCTACGGGAACCCAGCGGCACGCTTGAATGCGCGGCTCTGGAGGTGAGGGGCTATGTTTGGCGGGACTCGGGGGGTTCGAACACACACCTTCAGAGTAGAACAAATCGGGCACTCTAACACACCCCCACCTCTGGGCCCATAGGGCGGGAGATTCGAGGCCGAGGCCGCTTCATTCGGGCGGCCCACGCCTCATCCCCAGTGGCGGTTGCCTTAGCCAGAGCGACCTCCCTAGCCGCTACTGTATCATACCTTATTTTCCTACTGGAGGTGAAGGTAGAGACGGGCTGTCCTGCAACTACAATAGAAGATCGCTATTCTGAAGCTTTAGCCCCGCTTGTAATCTGTAGGCAATTCCTAAGAACCTCCTAGCTCTAGACCCTACCTGATAGAGTGGATGAGGGACCGCCAGGGGCGCCCGAGTTACGGTAACACAACTTATAAGCTATGGTCTTTGCCTTTTGGGACTTGGGTCTAGGATACGGTGACCCAGAGGCGCCAACAGCAAGGTACAGGCAGGCCTCCTGCCCGGTAACCTATGGACCTATCTACCGTGCCAAAGCACCTTAAAAGGGTAGGGAACCGAACCTTGGGAAGTAGTGTATGTACGTAAGCACGGTAGTGTAAGTTGGAGGCTTCCTTAATCAAGCTCCTTGCAAGCCGTTAATGGTCTGTATTGTGCATGGATGTAATCCGGGGAAGGTTTGGCCATTGAGATTCGGAGAAACGCTTTCTTGAGCCTGGTTTTTTTTTCTTCTTCTTTTTTCTTCTTCGTTTTCACACCCGGAACTCGCTCGCCGCCGTCTTCTCTCTTCGACATTTTGCAGGGCGGAGCAAATCCAAGCAGGCAGGTGCGACTATGGAAGAGGGGGGTGACGTGACAATGGATGGGGGCGGGATGGACCTGCTCTGTAGTTTGCTTTCTCGCTGTTGCTCTTGCCTTCTGGGAGAGCCCTTGATTGATTACAGAGTATGGAACATGTACGGCTCAACTGGAAGTCGGACTGCAAAAGGGGGCTGTGCAAAGGCGCCAAGACAAACTACCAGAGTCCCAAAGTCTCGCCGGCCACTCGAACTCGCTCAAACACCACTGGCAGAGCACCACCACCGCCGCCGTGACATCCCGTGCCTTCCTGCCTAAGAGAGGCTAGGGGCTGCGCAGCGAGTGGTGCAATTTCAGGTTGGCTTTCTCTTTTTCCAGCACACTCGCGTTTGAGGGAATTCAGACGAACATGTCCCACAAAAAAAGACAAAGGCATCTCAAACCCCCAAGACGCTCTGAGTAGGCACCGCCAAGAAAAAACAGCTTGCCGAACCGGTGCTAGTGAGTTTGAATTGTGGCCTCGGGTTCGGTCTGTAGACCTTCTGAACCCGCCCTCCCAGGCCCCGGACCATATGCGTCGGGTTCAGACCCCCAGGCCAACAACGGGCTTGCCATCGATTTATTATAAATAACATAGGTAAGGTTAAAGTTCTAAACACTCGGGCATGTCTCCAAGCTCGCGGTGGCCGGCACACTCACTGCCCTGGAAGCGAGGCCCCTTGTGGTTTGCTCCTTATCGCGATATGCCTGCTTGCTCGAAAGGAACCCTGAGCCAGTCGTTGGTTATTCACGGGTGTGTTCAATTGGGCCGGCTCTGCAGAACGCCAGACCCCGAGTACCTCCCCTGGTCTCTGCTTCTCTTTAAACTACCCGGTGCGCCGATGCTGATGATGCCAGTATCTGAGTAACACGGCTGCGGTCCTTCTACCTGTAGGTAGACGGTATCCGGCGTGTGTTGTCTCCTTCGGTACTGTACGGTACGAGACCGAAAACTGAGTACTGTGCTCACAATTTGGCTTATACGGCGGGGCAGAGCCCCTACTTTAGGTATGAACGATAGCCACACCTTGTTTTTGCACCCTACTCCGTAATTGCCTACATAGACTTGAAGAGATGGGAAGAAAGGGGTGCCCCCGTCTCCGCAATGAAAGACAAAACATATTCGAACTCCAGCAAAATCTGGGGCTGGAGGGGGGGATACTACAAAAGGTGGATTACCGCACAACTTACTCCATCAGCAAGCAAGCATGCAAGAAAAACGGCAAGGTAGCCAAGCGCTCTGAGGCGCCAGGTTCGGGACTACTTGAATTCTACAGATTTCTCCCCAGAATCTTCCTGGTCTCAGTAATGGGGCGTGGGTTCGAATCCCACCCTTGTCATGTCGTTTTTGCTTTTTGTTTTGTGTTCCTTTTTGTAAAAGGGGTTCTTTTGCTGTTAACTCCTGTCTCTACTCCTTTTTCTTTTTTGAGTATAGGTAGTCCTCTTACTACTCAATTATAAAATCCTGCAACAAGTATCTTCCTGGCAACCGTTGTATCAACAGATGGCACATTGGATCACGTCCCCAAACTCTGAGAAATGCCCGGCCGGGCTCGATGCAAAGAACGCAAACCCAGCCGCGACATGTAGCATCTGTATCCCTGCATCTATCATCATCATCATTACTACAAAATCTAACAGCGTGAGTGTCTTCTAACGTCCCCAATCATGTTCTCGCTGTGGATGATCCTACAACAAGTTAACAAGAATTCCCATTCACCTTCAACCTAGCCCGCCCCCGGAAAATGTATCCAAAAGACACGCAGCCTGAACAATACTCCAGCATACAACGACTCAGACCAGATCCCACGCCGCTATGCCCACCAGACTGTAGCCGCACCGGCCCTTCTTCCTCAGGAACTCCTCCTTGGTGACGCCACGGGCGCTCTGGCTGTCCAGGGTATCAAACCCAAACAGGGAGACCATCTGGCCGGGCGTGCCGAGGTCGGCGGCGTCAATGTCGGCCCAGTACCAGAACCCGTCCGTCTCCATGCAGACCATGTCGTCGGAGCGGCCGTCGCGGCCGTGGATCTGGACGGCGAAGAGCATCTGGGCGCCCTTGCCGTGTTGCTCGGGGCGCCAGTGCTCGCAGATCTTGGAGAACTGGAACCGGACGACCTCGCCGCTGCGGACAGGGATCTTCTTCTCGCGCGGCGAGACGGTGAACTCGCTCAGGCCCTCGTCGGATCCGCCGCTGTACCACGTGGCCACCTCGCCCTTGACGGGCCCCACAATGTATTCCTCCCACGACGGGATGCGGCCGTCGGAGCGGAAGAAGTGGTTCCGGTCCGAGGGGAAGTGCTTGAGCCCGATGAGCTCGTTGGAGAGGTAGAACATCTCGGGGGCGAAGCGCTTGGTGTAGGTGCCTTCGCCGACGGCGCCGGCGCCCCAGCACGCGTCGATCACCTTCCACTCTCCGCCGTCGATTCGCACGGCATTCCACGCGTGTCCCGTTGGGTCGCGACGGGGTGGCGCCTGTCCCGCCGCTAGCGGCCGGAACCCATAGCCCTTGCCGTGCCCCACGACCACGAGCACCTCAAGGCCGGCACGTTTCGCAATGCCCTCGAACACGCGCGCATAGCCCTCGCACACGGCCTTGCCGCTGAAGATCATCTCGGCCGTCGTCTGGCCGCGCGGTATGCAGCCGCCGAAGAAGCCCTCGACATCGTAGGCAATATTGTGGTGGCACCACGTGAAGATGGCTCGGGCCTTGTCCGTATGTGATGGAAAGGGGTCGCACAGGACGTGAGCCAGATAGCCCACGGGGTCTTGACGCGGCAGAGAGCTGATGGGGTACTTGGCGGCCGCCGCGTCCGGCCCGGAATAATCGCGACAGACTAGGCACTGCGGCGCCGTGGAGGGGCTTGCGGCCGCCCGGAACGCCACTGCATCGATTTGCTCAAATGTGGGGCGGGAGCTTAAGGGAACTGGGGGAGGGGACGAGCCAGGAGACTTCGCAGCCGCGCCTCCACCGAACCCCTGCGGAGACTTAGACGGATAACTCGTCGGGGTGGGGGGCAAGCGGCGGGCTGGAAGAGCCGGCGATGGCTCGTCGGCGCGTGCAGTGGCTGGGGGCCTGCCGGGCCTTGACGGGAGGCGAGGGGGAAGGGACGGGGGCTCCGCGATGCGGGAACCAACGGATGGTGACGGCTTGGGTGTAAGCGACGGTGACCTTGTGGCAGCATTTTCTCTCTCCTCTCTCTCCCTCTCCCTGGCCTTTGCCTCGAGCTCACGACGGGTGGGCGGCAGCGGGGGAAGCTTCGCCTGGTCGAGGGCCGGGGGAAGTCTCCTTAGGGGTTGGATGTCTGTTCCAACACTAGAAGCCGAGGATCTGGTGTTGTTCAGGGATAGGGACGACACAGTGGACAAATACGATATGTCTGAGGAATTGGAATTCCTTCGCGTGTGAACAGTTTGAGTAGAAGGGCGACGCTCGGGGATAGCGGGCGAGATTTGTTGCTGCGAGTTGCGCGAAGGCAATGGAGGAGGGGGCAGGGACGAGCCATACGAGCCGTTCGGTATGGCCGACGTTCTCGGCGATACTGATGACTGCTCGTCATTCTCAAACTCGGTTTTCCGTCTCGGCAGCGGCGGCGGTGCCCAGTCTGTAGCGGCCCTCACGGCCTTTGTAGGGCGCGGAGGGATCGCAGGGCTCGCCTGCGGAGAGACGGCATTGTCGGACGAAGCTGAAGCTGAAAATGGCGGGCTGGCGATGGTCGTCGTCCCGATGACAGTTGCGGCACGATTAGGCGGTGGTGGCGGCGGGGCTCGCTTGCCAACTGTAATGGGCGGCGCCTGGAAGTTCTTCTGCCTGTTCAGAGCAGCAATGCGCTCAGCAAGCGTGCTAAATTGCGGCTCGTCAACCTCGGCCATTGCAAGTAGCTATATGTTGGTGCAACAACTCGAGATGAAAACTAAAAGTTTGATAGGAACGCGGGGTCGAGAATCAAGGAGCTGAGAAGTTTGGTCGTTGGCGGCGTCTGACTGACGCCCGCGGTGCAGTATGTACTGTACAGTACAGTACCTACGGATAACGGCACCGAGAAGACAGGACGGGCACCTGCATTCAAAGCAAAGGCTGGGAAGGAAAGCTGGTTTGGCGACCAACCAGGAAACCTGGCACGCCTCCAGTAGGTAGGTAGTTATCTGACAGAACCAAAGCCTTCCTGACGTCCCGTCGTTGTAGGTGAAAAGTGTGGCGGTGCCGACAGGATCGGGGCAATGATGGAGGGGGCAGAGGAATGAGGAGGCGGGGCCGGATACGACTTGCCGGGCCGTCGTTTTGCAGACCTTCGGCGAATTTGCTGCTCGTCCACCGTACCTAAGGTAGGGACTAGAGCAGCTAATGCAATACGGCAAGCAGATCTACAGGTACTAATGCAGCGCATGGAAGCCATGTAGTCAGGACTTTATAGTTTGTGCTAGACTCCCGCTCCCAAGCTGGCGTTCAGGAAAATCAGACAAGGGTATCTCCAAACATTTAGCTGGGCAGACCTTTTCGGACTATTTTCTGTCCTGTACGGATACTGTAAGGTACTTGGTATACAGACTGGGGTAGCCGGGATGAAAGCGATGGCGACAAGCCAAAATATGGAGTGCGTACTAAGTAAACTCCGAATCCCAAAAGGTACCGCAATTCCGTACGTACATGGATCCGTAGATCGCTTGAGTAGGCGTGTATAAGGAGTCCCATGCCATGGGCTGTCACTCGGTGCGCAATGATCTGTAGCCCTCGCCCTCAAAATCCTATCGCGACATGATGGGATCTTAGCACATGTGGTGTCGCAGGCGGAGCCCCTGCAGCCTTTTCCGAGTCGAGCCGGAAATCGAGTTCTTTTGTATTCCGCATCCCGTATCCTGGAGACAGCTATCCGCGTCAAACTAGGTAAGCGGGGGCGGACATGCAACTTGCAGGACCTTTGTCGGCAGCATTGTGTGAAGTGCATCGTGGTGTTGAATGCGTGGGGGTGCCATGTTCGAGCAACTAGCATCAACAGCAGGAACTCAGTCAATCAACAATGGATTGATTGGGCCTTTTTTGTTTGAAAGCCGTTGCAGAAGAAAAGTGGACACTGGCCGTCGCTTTGGCCCCAGTCTCCATTCAGCCTCATGCGGCAAGCACCCGCAGCTACATAAGGTAGTCGATGGTTTTTTGGGGTTATCTGGCAATCTTCAGTGGTCATCAGGAACACATGGGTAGGACAAACATCTTTGAGCGGCTCAGTCTCCTGTTATGTTCTGATTTGTTTGCGATAGCGGTGGCAGTAAACAGCCCACTGAGGCGGTTCTTGGACGAGGTATATAGATAGAAGAGCTCGGAGGACATTCTTTCGTAGACCAAAAAGGTACAGTACAGTGTCTGTGCATAGTCGGAACAGTACGCTGAACCAAAGACCACAAGCGGTCTTCCCCAAATTCCCAAAAAAATCTGACTCCTCAATAAATTATGACCTTCACTGAGGTCGGCTTTAGCATCTCAGCCTTTTAGGGTTCACTTCTACACGTGTAGGCTGTCACCACACTTGACGAGACTTTGATGATTGTCGCACTTCACTGAACCTCCCAAGAGGCCGGCCCATCACCAAGAGAACGAAGAACAACCGCGACAGCTGAGCGCGCCTCCCTTGCCTTGTTGTACTTGTAGCATCCCGCCGCAGTTTCGCGCCCCAGCTGCACCTCAGCGCGCTTGGACCAGTCCAGTTTTTGCTGACGGGTATTGGCGGGCGCCTGCTTCTAAGTGCCTAGCGCACCTTACCTACCTGTATTCGTACATACAGACGGGCTGACTTTGCACACCCACTGCCTGCCTCTATCGACAGTCCCTTGCCGACTCCAGAGTCCGTCCAGCCCACCTCACTTCTTCTCCAGGTCTCGCAACACCCTCTCTTCTCGGCTCGCCGTCGTCTTGCCCCAGGTTTCGTTGCCCGACTGGGTTGGCTTACGAGGAGCTGGAGATCCCCACCTCTCCCGTCTTTGCCCCTTCGCTTCGCTTCGTCGTGCGCCGCCAGGGTGTATGTATTGGTAGCAGCCATGGCCTCTGCCGACCCCGACCCGCAGCCTGCCCCGGCGCAACCCGCGCTCACCTTCACGCGCCTGCCGAGAGAGGTGCAGAAGGACATTGTCAGCCATTGCTCGCAGAGCGATTTGATATGTCTCTCTCTGGTGTCGAAGCACTTCCGAGAGCTCGCTGCCGCCCAGCTCTACCGCAACTTCCACATCGTCTTCCCCGACGAAGATGACCCTGCCTTCGACTCGCCCATCGACGGCCTCGCCGGCGGCCTGGATACCTTTGTGACGAGCGACTACGACTATGCCAAGCATCTCCGCGATCTCTCTCTCG